AGGACAACCTCTTCAACAAATGGTACTGGCAAACTAGGCTGCTACCAGCAGAAAGCTGAAGCAGGATTCACACTTCTCACCATACACAAAAATCAACTCAAAATGAATTGGAGACCTAGGTGTAAAGCCCCAAACTGTAAACATCATAAGAGACACATTAGGACCAAGTTTAGAAGGCCTTGCCTATGGTATGAAGAAACTGTAAAATACACTCTGAAGTACCCAACCAGTAGAGGATAAAGTTGATGAATAGGACCTTCTAAAGATTAAATCCCTATGTGCATTAAAAACTTTTCCCAGAAAAGTGAAAAGAAAACCTGCTGACTGGGAAAAAGCATTTGGCAATAAAAACCATCTCAGACAGGGGTTTCATAACAAAAATTTACAGCATCGTATAGGGCCTCCACAAGAAAAGGAATGATAACCCAATTACAAAATGAGCAAGAGACATGGAAGGACTTTTCTCACAGAGGAAGATATTTCAATGAATGGCCAACAGACACATGAAGAAATACTTAAAATCACTAGCAATAAGAGATGCAAATCAAAACCAGAATGAGATACCATCTCACCCCAGTAGCAGTGGCAAAGTTTAACAGGACAGCAAACAATAATTGTTGGCGAGGATGGGGAGAGATAGGAAGTCTCATACACTGTTGATAGAATTATAAAATGGTAAAACCACTGCTGAAGGAAGTTTGGCATTTCCTCAAAAAACTGAACATAAGAATTCCATATGACCCAGCTATTCCACTGCTAGGAATATACCCCACGGAAAGTAGTACTGAGACGCAAGCAGACTTGTACATCAGTGTTCATAGCAGGATTATTCACCATTGCAAGAACATGGAAATAGCCGAAATGTACACCCACAGTCGAATAGATTGAGAAATTGTGGTACATTCACATAATGGAATACTACAAAGCACTCAGAAACAATTATTTTGTAAATTACTACACAAGTCGGGAGAGATTGGATGCCGTTACGCTGAATGAACTAACTCAGCCTCATAAGGATAAATGCATAGGACCGTTTATTGTAAAAATGGAAGGATAACGAGTAAAATGTGTATGGGGATGTAAGGGGGAATGGGGTGGGAACAGAGGGATGAGGGTGAGCAGGGAGTAAATCACAGGTTTGCACAATTTGCTAGGTGGAGGGAGGCTGGGTGGGTGGTAAAAGGAATTGGAAGGATCTGTCAGGGATCTGGAAAGACAGAATAATGGTGAGTGTTGTTCGATGGTAATTGATTTTATAAGATATAATGAATTAGGATGATTATGTGAAACACAGTGTGAATGAAGGCTAGTATGAAACACATGTATATGGACCTTGTATGCAAACTAATGTAAAAAAGCTATACTGGGGGAAAAAGCTGTTTATTTTTTTATTATTAATTTTAATGAAAATTTACAGAGATTTTTCCATTCATTCCATTCATTTCCATTCATTGTTGTACTTTTCTCCCTGCCCACCCATGCCCTCCAGTTCATTCTCCTCTTTGAAAAGTAAAAGAAATTTTTTTTCATTGTTACACAATGCCTCCCCCCAAGTCTACTCCACTGGGCAGCCTTCATTCTGGATTCATGTCATGACAATAATACCTAATCATATGTACCTTTTAAACAGTTCTCTCATCTGTTTCAATGCCATATCCATAATTTATCCCATATTTCTCAGGCTTCCCACCCCCAACCCCTATGTCAGTCCCATTTTACAACAGTGGCACCATGCAGTATTTGGTAGTTATTATAAAGATGTACTATGGAAGTGCAAACTACAGTTCTGGCTAATATTGATGATGCTATTTTTGCCTTGGGAAGGGTTAAACCGGGCTGCTCTTTAGAGGCAAGGATTCTGAGGCTTCGTCTGACATACTTTGGACATGTTGTAAGGAGGGACCGGTCCTTGGAGAGGGACATCATGCTTGGAAGGGTGAAGGGGCAGCGCAGGAGGGGAAGACCATCTATGAGGTGGATTGATTCATTGACTGGGGTAATTGGGCTGGGTGTGTCGGAGACAGTGCAGTTGGCACAGGACAGAGCAGAGTTTAGGGCTGTTGTACATAGGGTCGCTATGAGTCGCAAGTGACTTGATGACACATAACAACAACAACAACAACAACATTTTTGCCTTTAGTTTGTGGTATTTGGTTTATTAATACTACCTTACGAAAACCTGGCTTGGGAGCAGAGTTTTAAGAATTTGGTATCAATAGGAATAGAAAGTAAAAAATCACAAAGGTAAGTTTTAATTTTTAAACATATGTGTGTGATCATTATCCTATGAACATTAACTGCAATGAATTGTTCGTGTAAAGAAATAGTTTTACATAAGCCTGAAAAATTCTACTCAGATGGGTTTACTGCATTTGTGAATATTGATGCTATTATGAATATCATTTCCTCTTGCACTTTTTTTGTTATGTAGTGGTGAGTCAGAACCAACTCAGCTTAACCCTCTGGTAAGTTTACAGATGCGGTAACTTATGTGAGAGGAGTATGCCCATGTTTTTCTTGAGGAGCAGTTAGTGTTTTAGAACTACGTGCCTTTGGGTTGGCAGTGCAACTAAGCCACCAGAGCTTCCTTCTTGTACCTTAAATGATATAAAACATAGTTATAGAAATGATGAGCCTATTTTTTAAAATAAAACAAGGAGTGAGGATAGGCACGGTATCATCTTGCATGATTTCCAATGCAGAATTGTTTCTGCTTCCTCATTCAATCAGAAGGAACCGTCAGAGTGGTTAACTATTAGCTGAACCTACTAATCAGTTCTCTGCTTTCACATCTTTTTTTCAATCGATGTTTTTCCTTCTTTTTTAAAAAAAATCTTTCTCATTTTCACCCTCTTACTGTATTTTTTTTCTGCTTTGATATCTTAATAACATGGTATGCTATAATTTTAAAGAAGACTGCTTGTTTATACCCAGGTGGTAATTTTCTGGATAGGAATGCTATTGCACCCCATTAATAAAACTAGAAAACCAGACCCACTGCCTTCAAGTTGCGTCCAGCTCTTGGAGAGCCTCCATTGGGTTTATGAGGCTGTGAATCTTACTGGGAGCAAACTCCTTATCTATTTTCCATGAAGATGGACTTGAACCCTGGGCCCTTCAGTTAGTGGCCCAACTTAATAACACAGTATACTAACAGAGCTCCAGCTATACCTGGAAACGCAAAAGCTATGCCACGGGCAAGTCATCAGCAGTAAAGTGTCACTCTTCATAGTGTACAGATAGCATTATGAGCGTTTGCAGAGGCTCTGCCCTTATAGACTGACAGGCATGTCTGAAAAGCAAGTCACAAGTCTACTTGAAGCCATTCTAAAGACGTACATGACAGCAGCTCCTAGGACTTAATGAGTCCCCACATTGAGGATAGGTGGCAGTGACAACCCCTAAAATCCATAAACGCCGTTACCTGAGCTTTTATTGCTCTCTCTGAATATGGGAAAACAATTGTATGGAGACATTGAATAGTCCAACAAGGTTTCTTGATTTTAGGGTGAGGAGAATGGGCAAACCAGGAGGAAAATCAACATCCAGTGCAGGACATGGGTGGGTCCTGTGTTTGAACAAATGGATAAAAGTGTTAATTTTTGAGGAATGTTTCTTGGTTTTTCAGATGAGAAGACAAAAAGAAATAAGCCTTTCCTGGGGACAGACTCTATTTCCAGTCAAATTAATATTTTAGTTTGAACCTATTTGTTGTTGTTGTTTTGTACTTTCAAGTTGGAACCATCCATAGCTGACCCCCTGGCAGGTTTTCAGAGGCAGTTATTCTCATGGGAGGAGATTGCCCATCCTTCTCCCTAAGCTGCTGATAGCCTCAAACCACGAGCCTTAGGGATTGCAGTGCAGCTTCTTGCCACTAGGCCACTAGAGCTCTTTGAATCTGTTTGTTGTTGTTGTATACCATGAGTCGAGGAGATAAAAAAGTAATTAATGAAAAATACTGATTATAAAGGACTAAATTGAAAAAGTCTTTAGTCCTTTACAAGAAAAAATTAACCGTATTTTGGTATTAGTGGTTAAAATAAGTTTTTCTTCTCCAAAGTGAACTTTTGTTTCAGTCAGTATTCAAGAAATGGGCTGTCAACATTTCTTACAGAATACCAAGGCAAATGCCAGGAAATGGGCCCTCAGTCCCGGAACTGTGTTTTGTATGCACTGACTGGTCAAATCTAGAGTGCAGTTCCCAAATGAGCATTGTTATTTCTGGAAAAGCTGATCTAATACGTCACAGATTAATAAGAGCAATATGTAAGAGAGGCACAGGACAAATTTTATTGGTAAATTTAACCTTGTTTATGTAGGAGTTATAAAAGCATATGAAAATAAATTGGCTGAATAGAATCCCCTAAATGTCAGATATCCCAACATTAGGAAACTTTGATGAAGGATAAATCGCAATGACATGTACTTTAAGATAAAGAGCTCTGATGGTGTAATCCTTAGCATGATATGCTGTGCATCTCCAGCAGTTTGAATCCGCCAATGGTTCCTCAGGAGGAAGATGAGCAGTCTCCTCTCATTAAGATCTACAGCCTCAGAATACCAATGAATCAATGACTCTGCGTCAGAATATACTTGATGGCAGTGGTTAAGTACTTAAGAATTAGTATTATTATTCCTTATAATATTTGCCTTTTTCTTTCTATTTTTTTAAAAATTAATTTTTGTTCTATATTATCTGCAAATAGTATTTAGTGGCTTATTATTATTCTCACTTGGAATTGTATGAAATATGATACTATTAAACTAAAAAGAAAGTTAATTATTTACTGCTTCTGTATCATTTCATCTATCAAATTAATAGGTCTTCTGGGGCCGTGAACAACATCTAATCCTGTCATCATAGAACCTCTAAGTATGCAGGTCTTACATAGGACAACTGTTCAATTGTATATAAAGATACCACATTAGTCATGAGGAATGCAAATATTTTAAAATAGATTTTTACTAAGTATGCATTGGTTTGTGTTTTGCAGGTGAACCACCAAGTTCTTCATTATGTCTGATGGAGACTATGATTACCTCATCAAATTTTTAGCTTTGGGAGATTCTGGAGTTGGGAAGACCAGTGTACTCTACCAGTACACAGATGGAAAATTTAACTCCAAGTTTATCACAACAGTGGGCATTGATTTCAGGGAAAAAAGAGTGGTAAGTTCCACTTAAATCTTTCTATGTAAGAATGTAAATACCTGAGTCAATATTTACCTTTGTGTTTATTACATTGTAGGAATTAGGAGGACAAAGGTTAGAATCTAAATTTAAATCATGTATGTGAAAGTGTGTTATGCTCAGGTTGAGTCATATGATTAGAAAGTCTGTAAGAATGGTTTTGGATAGCACGCTCTGGTGGTCTAGTGGCAAGAAGCTGTACTGTAAATCCAGAGGCATGTGGTTCAAATCCACCAGATACTCTGCTAAAGATGGAGGGACAATCTCCTCCTGTACCTGTCAGATCTGATTTGATGGTACACACACAAAAAATAGTAAAATAAAATGAAATAAAATTTTTAAAAAAAGAATGGCTTTGGATGAAGGAAAGTGTGAAGCACAATGTATATAAATTTTGTACCCAAACAAGTAGAAAATAATTTTATTTTAAAAAAGAAAGAAAAGCTTTGGAAGCCGTATATATAACAAGAACCTGTTAACAAAAAGGTTTATAAAAGTTTGACAGTTTCACCCTAAAAAGAACAAGAACCCAATAATAAAAAAGGATGAATGGCTTACATAGATATTTCACCAAGGAGAACATTCAGATGGCCACTAAACATATCATATGAAAAGATGCTGGGCATCAGCCACTGAGCAATCCAAATAAGAACCACAATGAGATACAATTTCACTCCCATGAAGATGATGAAGATTTAACAAACAAATACTGACAAGTATGTGGCAAAATTATAGTCTTTATGCACTTGTGGTGGCAATGTAAAAAGCTGTTGTATAACACTTTGTCATAGTTCCTCAATAAACTAAAAATAGAACTATCATGAGTCACCAATCCCACTCTTAGGTATATACCCAAAAGACTTGGAAACAGAGATTTACAAAGAGATTTCTACCAGTGTTCATTTAATCCTACTCAAAAGAGCCAAAAGTTGGAAAAAACCTAACTATTCATCAGCAAAACAAAAAGATGTGTGATTGTGTTTGTATTATACACAATGGAATGCTACTACTCAGCTGGTTGTTTTTGTGTACTTTTGAATTGGAACCAACTCATAGCTGTCCCTCCAGCAGGTTTTCAGAGGCAGTTAATCACACAGGAGGAAATTACCCATCTTTCTCTCATGGAGCTGCTGATGGATTTGAACCACATGCCTTTGGGTTGGCAGCACAACTCTTTACCATTAAGCCTCCAGAGCTCCTTACTCAGCTGGTTAGAGAAATAAAATCTCAATACAAGTTACAGTATACATAGAGTGTGAAGACAGTATGTTGAAAAAAATAAGCTGATCACAAAAACCCAAATAGTATATGGCCTAATTTACATTAAAAACAAGAACAGGCAAACATACAGAGATGAAGGTATATTAGTTATTGGTAGGGGTGTTGTTGTTTTGTGCCATGGATTCGACTGTGATTCATAGTGACCCTATAAGCAACAGATCTGCACCTTGACCATTGTCTCCTCCTTGTGCCATTCTCACCTTCTCAGATATATTGAACTCATTGTTACAGTCACTGTGTCAATCCATCTTTTTGAGGGCTTCTCTCCTATGCTGACTCTCAACCTTCTCCAAGGACCAGCCTCTCCTATCAATGTGCCCGAAGTGTGTGAGACAAAATTTCACTATCCTTGCATCCAGTGAGCACATTATTCACACTTGGAAGGGGCAAAGGGGACATTATCAGTGGTGAAAAAAGGTCATTGATTAAAAGTAAGAAAATAAGTATTTACACAATTGATTATCCTAATTGTTGTCATTTAATTGTGCTGTGTATCAAGTTTAATTGGCAAAAGTCATATGATAGATATAGTTACAATAATTATTAAGAAAAAAAGAGTAGCTGTAGAGATTGTTTATATAAAACCATATACTTTTTAAGATTTAGTTCCATGGATTGGAAGTTTACAATTGTGGTTTCTTCTGACATCCCAGTCAATTAACCTAATATTGTATATATACATGCCTAGCATGCATGGTTCAAAATTGGGAAGGGTGTACACCAGGGATGCATCCTGTCTCCATACCTTTTCAACATGTATGCAGAGCAGATTATCCGAGAGGCTGGGCTCTATGAGGAGAATTGTGACATCAGGATTGGTGGAAGAGCTATTAACAATCTCCGTTATGCAGATGACACAACCCTGCTTGCTGAAACTGACGAGGACCTCATGCACTTGCTGCGAAGGGTCAAGGACTGCAGCCTTCAGTATGGACTAAGGCTCAATGTCAAGAAGACAAAGATTCTTGCCACTAGACCAGTTAGCAGCGTCAGGATGGATGACGAAGAGATTGAGAGTGTTCACAGCTTCAGTTTGCTCGGCTCCACAGTCAACACTCTTGGTACCAGCAGTCAGGAAATCAAAAAGCGTATCGTGATGGGAAAGTCTGCTGTTAGGGACCTCTCAAAGGTACTCAGGAGCAACAGTGTCTCTCTGGAGACTAAGGTGCGCCTGATACAGGTCATGGTATTTGCAATCGCTTGTTAATGCATCAGAGAGTTGGACAATGACTAGGGAGGACAGAAGGAGAGTGGATGCTTTTGAGCTGTGGTGCTGGAGAAGGGTACTGAATGTATCATGGACTGCCAGGAAAACAAACAGATTCATCTTGGAGAGGATTAAACCAAGCTACTCCTTGGAGGCAAAGATTCTGGGGCTTCGTCTGACATACTTTGGACATGTTGCCAGGAGAGACGGGTCCTTGGAGAGGGACATCATGCTTGGGAGGGTGGAGGGACAGTGCAGGAGGGGAAGACCCTCTATGAGATGGATTGATTCGGTGACTGGGGTAATCGGGATGGGTGTGTCAGAGGCGGTGCAGTTGGCGCAGGATAGAGCAGGGTTTAGAGCTGTTGTGCATAGGGTCGCTATGAGTCGGAAACGACTCCACGGCACATAACAACAACAACATGCCTAGCATGTCTAGTTTATTTCCTTGTTTGTTGCATTTTGCCTGGGATCTTAAAATCTTTCAAGTGGCCGTCCAAGGCACAACAATTAGTGTCTACTTACCTGAAGTTACAGAAGAAGAAAGAAGATGAGAAATACAGTGAAGATAGCTACTGTGTCACTAATTCTTCCTCATTTGCTGTGAGACCAGAAGAATTAGATGGTGGTTAGCTGTCATTACTGAATATTTTGATCAAAGATTTCATTGAGGAATCCTGATCAAGGAGAGAAAGATTCTCAATTTCAGGTTCTGATAGATTCCACATCTCCTGGAACCATGAAGATTGAATAAATTCTGAACCTATTTGTCTGAGAAAATCTTTAAATCTTTAATTGTCTTTGAAGTCTTCTTGAAGTTTGCCTTAACTAACTAAAAAAATTTATGCTTGACCATTATGCTCTTTTAAGAACTGTCTACTTTGGATCAAATAGAAAATAGTAATGCAAAAGATTAGATAAGAATCAAAGCAGACAATTTTGTTGTTGTGTGGTGTCCAGTCGGAACCAGCCGTGGGAGCAGAATGTCCATCCTTCTCCCACAGGCAATGAGTTTATGGTAATGACAGCAGCTCACCTTAGAAAAGGAGGGTGAGAATGATTGTACAACTCAAAGTAATCAAAGGCATTACTTTGTACATTTGGAAACTTGGTGTATGTTTGCTGTGTTTTTGTCAATAATAATGTTAAAGAAAAAATTTTAGATAGTCTAACTTGAAGTAAATCCTTTTTAAAGACATAAGATATCAAATGACTTATTGTATCAGTTGTCGGAGACCTTTTAAAAGTATTAAAAAGAAAAGTCATTTTGAGAACAAGTGTCTAGACTACCTGACCTAGTGTAGGGCATTTTCAATCACCTTATGCATATGAAAGCTGGACAATGAATAAAGAAGTTTGAAAAAGAATTATGGTGTTGGCAAGGATTGCAGACTATACCATGGAATGCCAGAACAAACAAATCAGTTTTGGAAGAAATACAGTCAGAACACTTCTTAGGAGAAGAGATGGTGAGACTTCTCATATACTTGGGATATAACATCAGTGGGGACCAATCCCTGGAGAAGGTTATCATGCTTGGTAGAGACAGGGTGAGTGAAAAAGAGAGAGACCGTCAATCAAATGGATTGACACAGTGGGTACAATAAGCTCTGAGATAAAAATGATGGTGAGGATGGTGCAGAACTGGGCATTGTACAGAAGGGTCACTACGAGTCAGAACCAACTCAGTGCCATCTAACAGCTCCTCCAGCAGAAAGTGTTCACCTCGAGGCCAGACTGCCTGGTCTGAGATATTCAGCCCCTGGTGAGAATCTGAATTACTCATTTTCAGTAACTGATACATGACCTGTTTTCCTATTGATGTTATTCTTATTTAAGAATAAATAAATATTTAAATCTGACATGCCAAATCCCCCAAGAAAGGGCTGTGCTAAAAAGAGCCAATATAAAATGAGGCAGATACAGGAAAAGTAAGGGATTCTGTTTGATTCTTCACTTGGTGCCCTTTTGATTTGTGTCATTTCTGAGCTTGTAAAGTTGTCTCCATGCTTATCAGCCAATCTACCTCTTCCGTTCTCCTGTTCACTGTACTCTCACTCCTGTGATGTCTTATTCTTTTTCATTGGCTGGCTCTTGTTTAAGAACTCATCAGAACTAATAATTCCGTGCAACAATGAATAAATGGAAATCCAAAATCTCTGTAAATGTTCATTGAAATAAAAAAAAAAAACGCACCAAAACAACAAACGACCTAATAATTCCATGTGGGACACTAAGTGGCAGGACGCATTGCTGCTTCCAGGAGGAAGAGATTGGAGTCAGTGGTGGATGTGATCTGGAGGTAACTGAGGGGACACAGGGGAGATCAACAGGATGATGACAGGAGAGGCTTTTATTATTTTTTAAGGAGCCCAAGAGAGAGAAGGCAAGGAGTCCCTGTGCCACGGTTATAGAAAAGCAAGGAGGACTTTCTTCATGCAACAAATGTTATGCTGAAAAATTCACTGTTACCATCAAATAGCTCAACACTCTTCAAGATGCAGACGAGATACGGTTCATCAACGAAGTACATTCTACCAGGGGAATGTACAAAGGATTCCAGCCTTTTGGAAAGGAGAATTCACTTCCTCCTGCCTATCCTAGTGGCATAGAATATTATGGGTTGCGTTGCTAGCCAGAAGGTCAGCAGTTTGAATCCATGAGAAGGATTGGGCAGTTTCCTTCCATAAAGCTTTCCAGACTCGGAAGGCGGAAAGAGGGTGGCGGTGAGCTGATTCAGTGGCAGGGGATCTGGTTTGATTTATCTGTCTTATATTTGTCATTGAGTTGTTAGAATTCTTTTTATATTTTGAAGAAGAATTCTTTTTTTATATGTTGTTGTTATGTACTGCAGAGTTGGACCCAATCCATAGCTGACCCTCCAGTGGGTTTTCAGAGGCAGTTAATTGCATGGGAGGAGATTGCTCGTTTTTTTCCCACGGAGCGGCTGGTGGCCTCAAACCACATGTCTTTGGGATTGCAGCACAGCTTCTTAACCACTAGGCCACCAAAGTTAATATGCAAATAATTTTAGCTCTTACATTAAGGTCTATCATCCATTTTAAGTTACTTTTTGTATACCAAGTGAGGAACTTTATTTTTGGCATGTGAATATACAGTTGTCCCAACATTATTTGTTGAAAAGACTGTTCCTTTCCTGTTAGATCATCTTGGGGACTCTTGTTGAAAATCTGTTAACCATAATGTAAAAGTTTATTTTTGGTTTGCAATTATATTTCATTCATCTGTATATCTATCCTTATGTTAGTACTATACATTCTTAATTACTGTGGTTTTGCATTATATTTTGAAACTGAGAAGTGTGAATCCTCCAGATTTGCCTTCTTTTTTCAAGATTGATTTCGCTATTTTAAGTTCCGTGTAATTCCATATAAATTTTAGAATCAGTTTGTCATTCTCTGCAAAAAATTCTACTTGGAATTTAGATAGGAATTATATTCACTTAATATTAAGTTTTCCAACCCACTGTATCCCATTTATTTAGATCCATTTTAGTTTCTTTCAACAGTATTTTGTAGTTTCAAAGTAGAGGTTTTATATTTATTAAATTTAGTCTTAAATATTTTAGCATTTTTGATTCTGTTATAAATGGCATAACTTTCTTAGTTTTATTTTCTAATTTTTATTAATAGCAATACAGTTCCTTTATTTTGTATACTGACACTGCATACTGCCGCCTTGCTGATCTTACTTGTTAGTTCACCTGGTTTGTGTATGCTTTTATGTGTATTCTTTAGGATTTTCTGTGTGAAGGATCATGCACTCTGTAAATACAGCTTTGCTACTTCTTTTGCAATTAGAATATTTTTATTTCCTTTAGTTGTAGAGGGACTTCAGGCCTTTTGTACATAGCGTTTTTATGAGTTGCCCTCAACTGGAAGACAGTCAACAACAGCCACCACCTATTGTGCCTGATGAGACCCTTCAGTACAATATTGAATAGAAAAGATGAGAACAGACATCCTTAAGGAGAAAGCTTTCAGACTTTTACCATTGAGTGTAGTGTCGGATGTGTGGTGTTTGTAGATGTCCATTTGAGGAAGTTTCCTTGAATTCCTAATTTGTGCTGTGTTATTATCATGAAAGGGTATTGTTGTTGGCGTCAAGTTGAGTACGACTCATAGCAACCCTAGGAGCAACATATCTGAACTTTGTCCTATCCTGTGCTGTCCTCATCATCTCTGACACACTTGAGGTCCTTGCTGCAATAACTGTGCCAATCCATGTCTTTGAAGTATTCCTTTCTTTCACTGACCCGCAACCTTTCATGGTATCCCTCTTCAAGGAATAGCCTCTCCTAGCAACATGGCCAAAGTATGAGACAAACCTTCATCTTCCTTGCCTCCAAGGAGTATTCTGGCTGCATTGTATCCAAGACATATCTGTTTATTTGACAGTCCATAGTATATTCAGTACAGTTCTCCAGCACTATGCCTCAAAAACATCAATTCTTCTGTCATCCTTATTCACTGTCCGGCTTTCAGATATATAGCAAGTGGCTGAAAAGATATGGCCTGAATCAGGCACTCCTTAGTCTTCAAACTGACATCAATGCTTCTCAGTAATTTGGAAAGGTCCCTGACTGCAGACTTGCCTAATGCAATATATCTCTTAACTGCTGGTACCAAGTGTGTTATAAATTCAAATAAGATGAAACCGGAAAAGTATTAGGTCATGTTAAATACATCTTTTGTATCCTTTGAGATGACTATTGGTGTTAGGTATAGTGCATTATATTGGTTTATTGTTGTATGTTAAACCAACCTTGCCATTCCTACTATAAATTCCATTTAACTCTGGTATGTAACCCACTACTGTTTAGTTTAGTTCAACTCATAGTGACTCTAGTTTGTGTAAATTTTAGTGGGAAGAAACTGTTCATCTTTATTCTGAGGTGAATTCTGGTGAATGAGAACTGCTAACCAAAAGTTATGCGCTATCCCACCTGAGCTCTTTCTTTTCTGCATGTTAATAGGTTCTGTTTACATTTTGTTAAGAATTTTAGAGTATTCAGAAGGAATGTTGGTCTTTTAAAAACTTATTTATTCATTCCTGTGTTATCTTTGTCTGGCCTGGTAGTACAGTAACATTGGTCTCTTAAGATAAATTAGGGAGTCTTTTTTTCTTTATTTTGGAAGAGTTTGTGGGGACTTGTATTAATTCCTCATTTGTGAAGACTTTGGGCCCTGTGTGTATGTTGTGTGTATGTTGGAGCCTGTGTTCATTGCTCCATGAGGGAGTTTATAACTCTGCTACTGCTCAAGAAAAGTCCCAAGGTCAGAAGGGTGAGAGACCACGGCCTTGCCCTTTTTTTCTTGGGTCTGTAGAAAGTCCTGCATTGTAATACAGGATTTTCTACTTTCCCAGGAATATTTTGGAGAGTTCCAAAACTGCCTTTGGCAGCCTGCTTCCCATCCCCCCTCTTTTTTTTAAGATTTGGTTTTGGGTTTTTTTGGTAAGCCTTTTGTTAGCTGTATCTGGTGTTACTATTGCTGCTCTCCCAAGTAACTGTGATGTTAAATACTTGCTACTGACGATCTCATTTTTTTAATGCAGAGAATATGGGGCATTATGTGGTTTTTGCACACTCTGCAACTTTATGTTCGTACATTAGTTTTTAGTACACACTGTGTGTGTTAGATATGTGTGCATTATTTAAGGGAGTGGGTTATATGGGAAAAGTATATTTTTTATTTTCATAAGGTTGTTCTTACAGGGTGAATTTTGAGTCAGGTTAAAAAAACATAAACTCCATGAATGGAGCTATTCATGAAATTCACAGATAAGTCAAATAGTGACAGTTCTCCAGCATAGGACTTTCTGGGAGCTTCAAATCCAGCCTGCCTCCACTACCCATAGTGAAGTTAGCTTAATGGCATTCACAGCTACAACCTCAGTGAATCTGCTAGTTTTTAAGGCTGCTGTGGAGCCAGGGGAAAAATATGACATTATTGGTGTTAATTGTAACCCCCTGTGCTCCAGAGAGCACTGCTCCATTGTGTTTTCTCACCTGTAAGAACAGAAACAGATCACCTGGTCTTTGCATCTGTGGTGTATCTGGGTGGGTTTGAACTGCCGACTTTTAGGTTAGCAGTTGAGCACAAATAATTTGTATCACTTTGAATCATTAGAACATGACAAAGCTTACTAATTTTTACTTATATGTACTTTGGAAGCAGCAGTGGCATCTACTTCCTAAACCCACATGCCTCTGAAAACTCTATGAACTTTGAGAAATGACGATAGTTATAGAAAGGTTTCAGGTCTTTTGTTCCTAGAGTCGCTGTGAGTTGTGCTTGACTTGCTCGCAATCAATAGTGACTATGTTTGCTGCATTCTTTGGAATGTTACCAATTGAAACTCATTGCCGTAGGGTACCTGTAGCTGACCTTCCAGTAGGTTTTTGGAGGCTGTAAACTGCATGGAAAGAGATTGCTCATCTTTCTCTCTTTCGTTCATTTCTAGGGATCTGAAAAAGTTATTTTGATAATTTTTTCATAGCACTTTCATTCATTTGTGGAGGGGTTGATTTTCACAGGCCATCAACCTCAACTCTGGATATGTTCCCCATAAGATTTTTTTAGCAGCACTTTTTACTGCCACACACTTAAATTGAGACAGTGCTTAGAAACACATTTTTTGCCATCATTTGTGGCAACGTGTTAATGGGCAAAACCATGTTGCTTTTATATGCTATTGAGTTAGAACTGACCCATCCTAGCTGACCCTCCAGTGAGTTTTCTGAGGTTGTGAATTGTTTCCAAGGAGCTTGTCCATCTTTCTCCCTTGGAGCAGTTGGTGGATTTGAACCACCTGTGTTTGGGTTCTCAGCTCAACTCCCTACCCACTAGACCATCAAAGCTCCCTAGGCAAAACCATAGAAAATTAGTATTTTTTTTGAAGCTGGTATCCTAAAGAAACTCTGAATTAAGAGATGAACTAATGAATATTCAAAATAAAATATAAATAAGGTTGTATTCTAGGAATTCTCTTCAGAAGTTTAAATTCTTATAGGAGTTACACTACATACACGTTCACCTGTCACTTTTATAACCTCTTCCTCTTTGCTCTTACAGGTGTACAGAGCCAACGGGCCGGACGGCGCTGTTGGCAGAGGTCAGCGAATCCACCTGCAGTTATGGGACACGGCAGGGCAGGAGAGGTAGGTGGTGCACCTGTGTGCATTTGCTGGGGGGAGAGGAGAAAAACAGCTCCACTCTGCACACAGTGACCTGAGTGGGAGAAGAGCCAGCCTGTTGGTTACTTTGATCCTGGATAAGTTGGGGAGCCATATTAACAGTGAATGTATCAGTCTGAAATGATAATAGTGATTTTATTTCATACAAGGTCAAAGGGGGAAGAAATGAATCCTCAAAATGGCCTTCTTGCTTGCACATTTATTGCTTATTCTTTTTTTTTAAACTTGGACACTTTTCCTTATTTTTCCTATTTTTTCTGAAATTTACATTACAGAGAATAGCTGCAAAGTTACCCAATACAGTCTTTCTGCCTGACACTGAAAGCCTCATAAAAAGTCTGCTTGGAATCCTTTTATATCATAGGAGTTTACTCGATGAAAATAAACTACGTGAAATGATATAAAAGTCCATTTAGTTAGGTAAAGCTTTTGTTTTCCTTTGCATTGCCGTTCTTGAAAATGTTTTAAAACTTGTTTTTCTGGAAAATTCAAACATATTCAGTGGCAGAGAAAACAGTCTAGTTAGCCCATGTACTCATTTTCAACAATTACCAAGTTCTGGTCAGTCTTAAAGAGGCTGGTGGTATCTAGAATTAGCATTGGATGGCTAAACTAAAAGTTGGTGTTTCCAGTTTGCCAGGTATTTCTTGGGAGAAAGATGTGGCCATGTGATTCTGTAAAGGTTTACAACCTTGGAAACCCTCAGGGCCAGTTCTCCTCTGTCCTATGGAGTCAGTCACGTTAGAATTGATTTGATGGCAGTAGGTTTGACTTGGCAAATCGTATTTTGTGTGTACCCTTCACATAGTCTCTTAATCTCCCAGATTATTTTGAAGAGCAGTTTCCATAAACCCTGTCATTTCCTTTGTAAATGTTTTGGTATGTGTCTCTAAAAGATAAGGATAAAAACATTGTTTGAAAATATTTGAGAAATATCTGACATAGTGGATTTGATGACAAATCCATCCTGGTATTTTCTTCCCTGGAAGTTACAGGCTTTGCCAATAGCTAAAGAGAGGCAACAGATGAGTCAGAGGAAAGGGAGGGAAATAGCAGGAGAAAAGCCCTAAAAAAAATAAAATAACAAGAATGGATAAGAAACTGAGTCACAGTTAGCCCACCTTCAAGTCCAAGAAATTATTATTAGAGATAAGGCAATTCTGTTGAGATTGAAAGTAAAAGGTCTTGGAGCACATTGTAATGTCAAGTCAGGCTTTCACAGAACAAGGAAAGCATTCACAGCAAGTGCCACCGCTTTTGGCCTAATTACTCATAATTGTGTAAGAAATTCTTGGCTGGGCCTAAAGGATCATGAGCTAGTCCTAATCATCCCCGTCCAGCAAGCTGAGTTTTCAAATCACATGGTGACTTAACACATAAACTTTATAAGTGATGTTGTTGGTAAGTACTGTTGAGTCAGAACTGACTCAGAACTAACCTTTAGTGGGTTTTCAGAAGCAGTAAATTGCACGGGTGGAGATTGCCCATCTTTCTCCAACCATCTATGTAGATTCAAACATATCTTTGGGTTGGCAGCACAATTCCTATAAACAGAAACATTTAGAATATCACCACCTCGTTTGTACTTGATGAACTTTTTTAAGAGACTGAGGACATTGTTGGCAGCCCTGTATTTGAGGAGTGGGGCCATAGGCTAAGTGACTGATCTGCTTTTTTATTCCAGGTTTCGTAGTTTGACCACAGCTTTCTTCAGAGATGCAATGGGATTCCTTCTGCTCTTTGATTTGACAAATGAGCAAAGTTTCCTCAATGTCAGAAACTGGATAAGTAAGTGTTGCTTCCATGCCTCCCTCTTCCCACTCCTCACAATAAAAAGCCCTCTTAAATTCTACTTCTGTTGTAAATTGTTTTAGAGATGTTCCTAGTGTCAATGCTATTTAAAAGATGATTTTCAGTTCAGGGCCAAAGTTTTTGTTGTTAGTTGCCGTCAAGTCCACTGCAACTCTTAGTGGCCTTATTATGAACCGTTCATTCTCTCGCACCACCCTCGTGATCGGTTATGCCTGAGCTCATTCTTACAGTCACTGTGTTAATGCATCTTGTTGAGGGTCAGAGATCCGAAATCGTCTCCCTTAAATAGTAAAACTAAAATGGATTTGTTGAGTACTGCCTGTGCTCCAGTTGCATGGCAATATTTTATCTGTAATCTTTTACTCGGTCTTCTTCGCACAGACTTCTTTACTCTCATTTTACAGATGAGGAAATAGAAGACTGAAGACATTAAATATCTGTGTATCTGCAAGCCTAACATGTGCTATCATTTCTTATACTGTCTCTGGGTCTTAAAAATACGTTGCACACACATAGAACCTCTTTGAAGGCTTAGTAAATGATACACTGTTGCTTGTCTCTTCCAGGTTTGGAGCCCCCTCCCTTTGCTGTTAGTATCAAAGCATGTATGAGGAGGACCTAGACCTAGAAAACTTGACAGGTGCATTAGCACATGTGGTCAACACCCACCTTTCATGAGCTGCATAATTTAATTTTTTTGGAAAGATGATTCTTAGTGATTGATTGCTAAACCCCCAAAACCAAATTCAGTTGTTTTTCATGTTTGTTGATTCCTACTCATAGCAAACTTGTAGAATAGATGTCTGTAATCTTTACAGGTGTATCAGAACCACCAACATTTTGATTAATGGCCTAATGTTTAACTTCCTGTGTCACTCCACAACCACCTCTGTTGAGTCAGTTGATTAATTGTTGTTGTTGTTAGGTGCCATCGAGTTGACTACAATTCATAGTGACCATATGAACGAAAGATCTGAATCCTGCACCATCCTCACACTTCCTGACACACAAGAGCCCACTGCAGCAGTTACTGTGTCAATCCAGCTGGTTGAGGGTCTTCCTCTCCTTCGCTGACCCTCCACCCTTTCCAACACTGGTTAACAGCCATTTAAAAAAAAATAAAAATCTTGGCCTCTTACCGGTTTCGGTGTCAACATTTTCCTCCTTTGGTTGCCTGTTTTGGTAGAACCCTGCTAGAATAGTAATGCCACCTTACCTAGAGGACCTGTTAGAGAAGACTGGGATGCTAACTTCCTGATATCCAGGTCTTGAAAATGAAAGCACATTTAAAAACTCCAATTTAGGAAAATTGCTTGGTGTGTTGTGATTTGAGAAAAAGAATAATTGACTTTGATTCTGATATCTGAAAACTTTTTTTCTCTTTTTTTCCTTTCAAATAATTTTAATGAGCATTTACAGAGATTTTGGGTTTCTATTCATTCATTGCTGTACTTCTTTCCCCCCCCCCAGCCCTCCCCCACCCAAGTTCGCTCCTCTCTTTCAAAAGTAAAAGAAATACTCCTTCCCTGGTACAAAATCCCCCCACACCTCTCCCACCGCACCATGTACACTCCACTATGCAACCTTAATTGTGGACTCTTGTGATAACTATAATACCCTATCATATATTGCTTTTAAATTATTCACTCCCTCATCTGTTTCAGTGCAGTATACACAATTTATCCAGTTTTTCTCAGTCTTACCCCAACCCTGATACCAATCCTATTTTACAACAGTGGC